TATAGAGGAGTCATAATATTATGACTCCAAGTTCATAATATTATGACAGGGTGCCATTATTTTATAAAAAAAAAATATTGTCCCGGGGTCATTATTTTATGGGGGTCAGTTTTCAACGTTACACCGGTAATCAGGATATTGTCTGATCTCTCGGAAAATGCTTGATTTATACCCTGTTAAAGAAGAAGCCTATGTCTGGGGTCTATAAATACCACCTAGACGAAATTTACGACATTTTATATCAAGTTCCACCTATACACATTCGATACCACGTACATATAAATCAGATTTTGTATGAGATATGAAGCACTCTCTGATATAGATTGCTACTACACCACCGACTCTGTCTCTTGTTGCAACGAACTGGGCACTGGAAATTTCGTATTTCAGTGTCCATATTTTGCACTTCAGGACGAAGCCAGTTGTAAATAAAATAAGGATATTATATGGCTGTGTTTTGAGTTCAAGTATACATGTACTAAGTTAAGGTCTAAGATTCTGAATATTTAAACACTTTATACTTATCTCATAATTTATAAGCTCAGAAATATGAGATACAGAGCAAAACAGGGTGATGATATTTAATGTGTACTTGTCATTGCTTAATTCCAGGTCCTGTCTGTGACAGTGTCATAATTATCTTCTTGCATAAACGATATCATGAGTGATGGTATCTAACAACATTCAAGTAAGGCGTCATAGACAGAACAGAGTAATTATATATGTTTTATGTGCCACAAACCGTGTGCAGATACGTTAGAAATGAAACTTATTATATAAAAAATGAATAAAAATAAATAAATGAATTAATGGTAGTCACGTGGAGCGTTGATAAATAAGATTACTATGAAAATGTGTCTAGAGATTATTGAAAATTGTCTGGTAAATATAACTGTTTTCTATAAACATTATTTCAAATCAGTGGCAAAATGCATGATATGTAATAATACTAATAAAAAAATTTATTAAAAAGATTCACCTAATTACTTATTTCATTTAACGATATCTTTCATATTTGGTAGGTGGATACCTTAAACGGTCCTCTAATGTTTTGTGGCGTTAGGCGTCTCTAGGTCAAGGTCGCTTGTGTAAAAAATATTCTAAACATTTCTGCTCATACAGCCTTTATTTTTAAGTTAATGTCTTTCATGTTTATAATAGTCATACCAAATGAGGTCCTCTTCCTTTAAATAGTCACATTTTGCAAGACAACATAAAAAATTCAGTAAAATATACACGTAACAATGCAATATGTAATATCAGATGGACAAATGCACACGTAACAAGGCAAGATGAGATGTCAGAAGGATCCATGTAATGTTTGCACCAAAACTGTTCCATACAAACGCAATACGTTGGTTTTGTCGTGACGCGGCTCATATATCAAATAACACAACAGTGTCCTTTAACGAAGGGCATGCTACTTATTGTGTGTCAGTCTTGAATAAAAACTTATGTTGAAATTTTATTGGCTTTGTCTATCAAACTATAACTTCTTTTACATACGTCCAATATTTACTCAGGTAGTATGCACTTGGCAGAACTAACACTCATTCAAATTAAATATTACGTCACAATTTCTAGTATTAAAATAAATTTTAAAAATATTATCTTTTGATCAATGACTATATACATTTTATCAATATGTTAACTTATATGTTTCCTCCAAAATTGTAATAATACAAGGATTACACAAGCCAAGGTTCATGTCATTTTAACACTTACATAAACGAAAAATAATCCTTTAAAATGACCTATTCTGCATGACTTTAAGTTTTTAGAAAGCGGGATACACCGTAGATTAAAAGAATAACCAAATAGATGTTCTAATTACATTGTATTTATCTTCCATATTGTATTACACATTTTAGTTTGCCCATAATATCAAAATATGAAAGATCAATAAAGTCTCTCTTTTGCAACGTATGATTAACTGTACATGTTGATATGAAAGTAATGAATTATAAAATATAAACAAAGGGCAATAACTCCAAAACTAGGAAAGGCAGAGTTATGATTCTTGTGCACAATGAGATCTATATACTCACAAAGTTTCATGTTGATTTATGCTCCGGACAAGAAAAGCGGAAGGACGGACGCACGGATAGACGGACGGTCAGACAAAGTGACGACTATATGCTCATCTTTCGGGGAGGATAAAAATGAATGATTTTGTCTATGTTGGAAGAAGGGCAACATTTACTTTATTTACCGGATTATGTTAATAATGAATAAGGAGAACTGATGCTTAAGATCCTACATTAGATTTAACGTTTATGAGTTAAATCATACAATGGTTCAAACAGTGACGATTTACAATATAATATACAAATATTTATTTAGTAACTGTAATGATCTGTTGACTTATTAATATTAAAAAAATATATGATTTGAACATATTGGATTAATGTAAAGGAAAGAAAAATATATATATGCCGTATTAAAATTATGTGCAGGGAATATCCCTGGACCTCTAAAAACAACAAACATAATTGAACATTGCAAATTCGGTTTTATCAAAATAGAAAATAAAAGAACGCACATAACGGTCAATTTGAAAATGTTGTAGGCTCGGTTTTTTTAGTTATATATTTGTCATATACATAATTTAATTTAATTACAATAAAAGAGAACAACATCGACAGGCCCCTAAAATGACTATTAAAGTAGTGCTGGATGATCCCAATGATCTGTCCAAATGAATCATAATAGATATATAATCTCATATTAAACCTCACTATATAATATAATGACGTCACATGTTGTGATAGATCAGGGGCGACTAATCTATACATACTGAAGAAAACGGAATGTTCTAGTAATCTCTCCTGGCTGCAAAAACTGACGCGGGTGTAATTTCAGTTTTCGGGTTGCTCAAATGCATATTTAACCTGAGAAATATGTGTTATATCTTTTATTAAAAAAAAATGTTTCTTTTAGCAGAAACAGAAGGTCAGGAAACATAATTTTTTTTTTACTTTTCTACATGTAGTTCTTATCCAAAAAAAAGAGTGAGATCAATTTCAGGAACTAATTTTATAAAAACTTCCATGAACATGTTATAAGGAATGAGCGCATATCTATCTCGTTTTATATAGTGACAATTGTGTTTATTTTGCTTGTGAGCCGGTGGTCACGGGTTCGAATGGCGAGGGCAAGATATTCTTCATATGCAAGAGCTTATTCTTGTGAAGAACTTGAAATGTTCGTAAAGATACATTAAGCCATATAAATACACTGTAAAATATTTCATTACATATATACCTATAACAAATGACAATCACTCCCCTATCAGATAAGTGTTAACTGATATCACGGAGTTTTGAATTAGATAAAGTCCTGCCATTTTTTGTTAAAACTTGAATATATAAAATATCAATAAATCAACATGAATTGTCATAAAATTCAATATGGCATTGTGTTAAAGTAGTCACAAAGAAAACTCTATAAAAGAACTATGTTTATTTGCCAACAAAATCCATGGTATGATCAAATGATGCGACATTTGTTTTAAACACGCGAGGGTATGATTTCAACTAGAGTTTATGATTATAAACATAACCAGACCAATAATAAAACTGTTATAGGATACATAAGCAAATCTATGTGTTGGCACTTAACCCATTAATGTAGCTTTATATCGTTATCAAAGAAAAAAAAACAATAGAAAAAATCTTACTGGTTAAAAAAACACACTTAAAGCAAAGTCGAAATATAAAACATTTATTGATAACTAGAATCACAACTGTTATAGTGTTACTGTCCTGGAATAATAACAGGACAATCCACTTGAAGGGTAAGTCTGCATTATTATTCGAGATTGGAAGTCATAACAAATTAATATAGTTTTATTTTAATAAGAATGTTTAACGTTGATGTGGCTCAGTTGGCAAACCAATGTTACTGTAACCTTTAGTGGTTTGCACGGGTTCGAACCTTACGCTCTTTAATGCTGTGATGAACTGATGATGTTATTATTGTTGTCTTCTAAATTCTAATTGTTTGTTCTTCGAAATTTCTATTTATTTCTTTTTTTTTCATTTTTGTTCCCCTCTTTATAAAGAAAACTACTACATGCCAAGTGATTAAATTGTGTTCTAAATTCAATTTTATATAACATTTTAAAAATCAGACTATTTAAAATATACTACGATCACGAAATGTGAATTATTTTAATACATGAATCAATATATAACACATGTTATTTCATTATACTTTTTTCATTTCTATTAATGACGTAGATCTTAATTTCGTATATATTTCGCGTGATGTTTGAGCTTCTACACAAGTGCATATCAACCCATGTACACAAGTATTTTATCTAATGCATTTATAAGTATTTACACAAAATCGTCAAACAAGAAAAAGAGACCTAAAACAATCAAATGTTATAATGCCTAACCATAACGTAAATATGAACACGGACGCTCTGTCTAAGTACTGCACTATGAAGGGTGAAAGCTGAAATCAAACAACAACAACCGGGAATTTAATATAGCCAAAAGTTTTGAAATTTCAGTTTTCTTATTTAGAGTTGATAATTTTGTAATGTAATTTGTTATACTATAATTAATGCCTGTGTAATGGGCTTAATTTTAGGGGAAAGTATCTCAGGTTGTGGCAAGGTGAAATAGCCTGTGGGCTAGGGATACTAAAAATCACCGTAAACATAAATATAGGAAAGTTAAGGAGAGTATTTGAATAATATTTCCTGAATCTGTAGAGCCTTCAAGGTACGTATGGCACGTATCATTACACTTCAGTGTGTGATATCAAAAGTTCACCTTCGATGATCCTGAATGATGGCGACCTTAAAACCTTCATCTACAATTAAACATATAACATGCATGACAGACCAAGGACCATCATTGCTCTGTTCTACTTTTTTAAATTAGAGAGTTTCTACCCATGGTATCAAATGAACATTTTCTGGTTTATAAATGTTTATTTCAGAATTGTTTTCTGACATCAAATAGAAATATCATTCATTTCTAATTTTAGGTTACTAGTGTACAATGGATGAAAACTACAAATCGATCTGGTATTGTATGGCTGTAAAGAAAATGTGAATATTGTTTTATGTATCTTCAACTAAAGGAGAGAATCCCCAGTACCTTCATGCATAAGTCTGTCTTTGATTTATGATAACTACAAGAATATTGATGACATTATTATAATATAATTTGTGATATGGATTAGATTCACGGAGGAAAAATGGCTTCAGTAACTTTGTCTAAAAAACTGTCTAACTCAAGATACAATAACTGGGTAAAGGCTAGTTTAGCAGTTTTGATAACAAAAGAAGGTATTGAACCTTTTGTTGAACGTGAAATTAAACAGTTCCAGCAGAAATGTTTAATAGATATATGTAACAACCAGGGTCGTCCATCTGGAACAATTTGTACAAACTGTTGCACTGAAAAAGTAGTTAATTGTCCAGGAAAGAGAAATTGTAATGTGGTAAATGGAACATGCAGGATTCATGGAAATTCTCTTCCTCCTTGTCCGAACAAGATCTGTCACTATTTCAAAACTGAAATTCAGAAGTCCCATAGATACAATGGTCCATCCTACAAAAACACTGATGCTACTCAGTGGTGCAGTAAATCCTGGGAGGTCGCTAAGTGCTTCATGCCCCCAGATGGTTATAAAGATGTTGTGTCTGCATCAGATACAGATTTTAATGGAGTCAACAGTGTTATCATAAACTGCAGATGTTTTCAGGCAAAAGTTACAGATGATCTTAGAAAGAAAGGAAACATTTTTGAAAAGGTAAAGTAACTTTTCTTTTTTTCCCTTTTCTTGTTCTGTCATTTAAATCACCTGACGAGCTATTTAGACCATTATTTAAGTTAAAAATGATTTTGGCAAGTTGACATATTCCCATAAAATGGCATCTATTGTCAATGTTAAATGATTGAAATTTTCAGAAATGGTAATAATTTTAGAAGAGAGAGCGAGAGCGAGAGCGAGAGCCAATTCATATTTGAACACCATTATCTTATTTGTGTTATATAATTGAAGTATGACCTGGAAATCAAACTAAAGTTATTGAATTTTTCTTAAATTCTGATTTTCATTGACATATATTTATACTTGGACAAAACAAATGTTTTGACACAACATGCTAATTTTTTACACTATGACCTTAACCTTATCCACAGCTTTTAATGCAAGTACTTTGATTAAGCAAAGGCTGTTCAAAGAAGCTAAGTCTTTCACAGGCACAGATCCACTGAGGGGACGGGTGGCGCCCGGGGCTTAAGCACCCATCCTACCTTAGATCCGTTAGCAGGCTGTTTTTTTTTCTTTCAAATAAGGGACAGAAAGAGTAACATATAAGCAAAAACTGGCTAAAAAAATGTTGATCACGACACGAAATTTCTGGACCACTGCTGAGCTTCCTGTCTAAAACATTATCATTCCTTATTTAGCAACATGTTTGAGGAAACAATCATGGTTTTAATATGAAACTTACATTTATCATATTAATATGAAATAATATTTTTTCTTTATCAAATGTAAGACACTCACGATTTGAAACAAATTTATTATGGGAAGAAATTTTGGATAAACAAAATAAATTAAGATATCAAATTTATGAAACTTTTAAATGTACATGTCTTGTAAAATAAGGTATTATGATAATTTATTCATGGCCATAAAAAGGAAACATGTATAGATAGTGTAACTACTCTAACTTGTTCCTCTGTGTGTGCGTTCAAACACCTTTTAAGACCAATAACTCTGTCTTGTATAAACTGATCTTGATTCAATTTTTTGGTATTTTGTTTGTTTTGGCGAAGACATTAAGTATAATGATATGGTATGTCAAGTTCGGATATGAGCCACCTGGGTCAAAAACTAGATAATACAGTCCAAATATTGAAAAACCATTTTGACACTCTGGGTGCTACTGTTTTAGGAAATTGGTCAGAAAGGTTGTTTGGGATTTCTAACTCAAGTTTAGTATGGGCCAAATGGGGTCAAATACTAGGTCGCACAACCCACATATCGAAAAAACATTCTAATACACTTGTTACTGTATATAGTAACAAATTTGCCTATGATTTCAACTTATTATGACTGTCACGTGACCGAAAATCAGTTTGTGGCCAGGGGCCGAAAACTGATATTCATAATCAGCCCGCTGAACACGAGTACAACGTGCACAAACTGAAACAATGAAGTCACATTTTAAGTCATCAAACAGCTAGATGTAAACGTGAAAGTAGGATTGAAGCACAAATTGCTTTATTTAATAACTAGAACATACGCGTAATTCCTACAAACACAGCTTTATTAAAATTTTAAGAAAAAGTATTAGCTACAATTTCAAAAGGCAAGCAACTCTGTAGAAGTTACTGTATAATTTTCAGTTGAAATCTACCGAGATAGGAATTTCAACGAAATAAATATCAAAGTAATTTTTAGAGCTATCAATTGTATTAAAGACATTTATACATATAGATGGGCCAGAAGGTGATAATCGGCCCGGAAATGAATAATGCCCTCGGGGACTGCTTTTTTGTCCAAATATCCTTGAAATTGATCAAAAATATTGTCAAAATGATTTCTAGCTCATGTTCTAGATAGTTTATATGGGGTCAAAAACTACATCACATATCTAATATGGCTTAACATGGGTTAGCTTAATATGGAAACACTTTATTAATTCTCTTGAGGCTACTGTTTCAGTCTAAATATCCTGGAAATTGTCCAGAAAGGTTGTTTAGATGATTTCCAAATCAGTTTTAAATATAGGTCACCCGGGGTCAAAAAACTTGCTAAAATTCGAATATGAGTCATTTAAGGTCAAAAACTTGGTCACATAGCCAGAATACAGAAAAACTTTGTTGGCACTCTATAGGCTTCTGTTTTGGTTAAAAAATCTTATATTTGTCAGAAAGGTTGTTTTGGTGATTTCTTGTTCAAATTCAAATATTGGTCAAATGGGGTCAAAAGCTAGGTCACACAGCCTAAACATATAAAACATGATCACATTCTAGAGGCTTCTGTTTTGGTCTGAATATTCTAGAAATGGTCAGAAAGGTTATTAATCATGTAATCATGTAACATGTTTACCTTTATGCCGAAATAAATAAATCTATCTATCTATCTATCTATCTATCTATCTATCTATCTATCTATCTATCTATCTATCTATCTATCTATCTATCTATCTATCTATCTATCTATCTATCTATCTATCTATCTATCTATCTATCTATCTATCTATCTATCTATCTATCTATCTATCTATCTATCTATCTATCTATCTATCTATCTATCTATCTATCTATCTATCTATCTATCTATCTATCTATCTATCTATCTATCTATCTATCTATCTATCTATCTATCTATCTATCTATCTATCTATCTATCTATCTATCTATCTATCTATCTATCTATCTATCTATCTATCTATCTATCTATCTATCTATCTATCTATCTATCTATCTATCTATCTATCTATCTATCTATCTATCTATCTATCTATCTATCTATCTATCTATCTATCTATCTATCTATCTATCTATCTATCTATCTATCTATCTATCTATCTATCTATCTATCTATCTATCTATCTATCTATCTATCTATCTATTTATCTATCTATCTATCTATTTATCTATCTATCTATCTATCTATCTATCTATCTATCTATCTATCTATCTATCTATTATCTATCTATCTATCTATCTATCTATCTATCTATTTTGATAATTATCTCGACTTGAAGATGTATTACCCTATAACACTAAGACAAAATATGGAAAAATCATTTTTGTACTATTCAGCCTAAATATCCCGAAAATGTGTCAGAAAGGTTGTTTGTTGATTTCTACCTCAAGTCTGAATATGAGTCATCTTGGGTCAAAAACTAGGTCACACGGCCAGAATATAGTACATTTAGAGGGTTCTGTTTCCGTTCAAATATCATCGAATTGGTCAGAAAGGTTGTTTAGATGATTTCTGGCTCAAGTTTGTATATGGGCCATAATGGTCAAAATCTAGGTCACACAGCTCAAATAAAAAAAAAAGTTGTTTAAAATCTATAGGCAATATTTTTTGCCTAAATATTCTTGAAATTGGTCAGAACTGTTGATTAAATTCTCATGAATATGGGTCATCTATAGTCATAAACTAGGCCATAGAGCCCAAATGTGAAAAGAACTATATTATTCTTAGCCTATATATCCTAAAAGTTTCTTAGCAAAATTGTTTAAATATATTCTATGTCATGTTCGAATAATTTTATGTATATGGGTTATTTTGGGTCAAAAACCTGGTTGCACAACCCATATATGGAAAACATTGTTTATAATTGAACTTTTTAGGTGCAGGTATGATCGTTTTGATATCAGATTATGACATCTATCTTCTTTTCATTCATAGCTTGTATTAATTAGGAAACCTCAATAATCAGGTGAGCTATACAAAGGCCATTATGTCCCTCTTCTTTTCAAATTATGCTCATATACAGACAAATATGAGCACTGTCACCCGTAAATAATGACCATGTAGGTATTTGAACGCTATTTTTATCAACGAAAATATTTCCTCTTACTTTAAAAGGTTTTGTTTGCAAACACGTTTTATGAGATACCATCTATACAGTCCTGTCATCGCATCTTTATTGATATTATTCAGTGAACTGTCATACATAGACTTTGGGCTTTCAGACGCATTTTTATCTATATTTCATAATGCAAGTTCAAGCCAGTTTGATAGAATTAACATTGCATATAAAATCTTAAAGAATAAACAGTGGATAAACTTTGCAAAACAAATTTATCTTTATGTTAAACCTTAAATGCTTCTGAACGTGGGATTTGATTTCATAAGAAAAAATATCTGAAGATTCCTGTGGTAATGTTCATATTGTTGTAAAAAGAAATCCTGTTAATAAGTATTCTCAAAAATAAGCTACCCTTTGAAACAATAAATATTTGATGAAATGATATAGGTGAGAAATAATAAAATAGACAATAGCGTAGCTTCTACAGGCTGTGACATTTATTTTATTATTTCTAGGTAGTTAAACATATAAATATGTTTTTGTTCTTAATTTTTAATAAAAACTATCCTGTTATTAGGTATTGTTAAAAAATACGCTACCCTTTGAAACAATGAATATATAAGGAAGCTATTTAGGTAAGAGATAAGGAAATAGACAGTAGCGTAGCTTCTATAGGCTGCGGCATATTTTTTCAAAGGTACTTAAAATATAAATATATTTTGTCTACCTGTAATACTTGATATTCCCTTACGTTATTGTAAAAACTATAAGGAAAACACATCTCTGACAATCAAGAGCATAAAAAACTAATTTTGGACTGTATGCTCCCAAACTCCCAAGCTTTAAATTGGTCTGCATATCAATATCGACCAAGCTATGCCCCATGAATAAAGGACCTGTATGTTTTGATTCTATATTCACAGGGTAGAGAGATTGGTAAGGCTGTTCGACACGCCCCTATTCTTGAAGTGGTAGATACAGATTTGAATCAATATTTCATTGACCTTGATAACCTTCTGTCAGATACTGGACACTTGAATGCACAGTTAGCACGGAAAAGATTATCTGAGGTTTGTAAAACTTACTTTTGTATTAAGTGACATAGTTTTGACCAAGGTGTTACTACTCAATACAAAGTTTATGTTACCGATAATCTGATTTATGATATTTCTTACTTGCAAAATAATAATGTTTCTTTGTAAAATATGTCACTTTAAATGAAACAGGAACAAAATGTAAACACCTGTTAAGTATGTATTTCATGCCTTCAAATGCTAGATTTAATATTATTAATGGAGAAGAATTATTGTCCAATACAATCAAGCGTGTATTAAGCGACCCCACAGGGGAAAGACCAAAATGGTTGCTTAATGAGAAAGAAATCAAAATTTATTCTTGACATCTTTCTTTTGTGGTGGACAAGTTTTTTTTAACTTCATTAATATAAATGTTTAATAATTATAACGTACCGATGATTTAAATTCATAAAATATAAAAGAATAGCTTTCTGATATTTATTGAATCCATTACAATTACATGTTTGACATTTTTCCAGAATTTTTAAGCTTCTCCATTGCTTTTCCTTGTCCTCGACAGGAAAAATCTTATGAGTGAAGATGCTTTCTGCATTTTTCGTTTGAGATAAATAAGTTAGCAACATCTAATTGCAACAACTAATTTAATTGCTGATCAAGGTCTATTCAATGCAGTCTAAATATCAACAGCGAAATGTATACACCATCTCAGTAGGGGCGGAGCGTTGCATTGTTTACCGATTTTATTGGATAATACGCGTCAAGTTATACTTAACTTCATTTGCATGTGCTAAATGTTTGGGAAATATAGTTTTTTCACATGTTGTGTTTTGATTGTTGACACTGGAGACATTAGGAGGCGGCATTCTCTATAACACAAACACTTGACATGTAAAAGTGGTTGCTTAATCTCAATTAGCTGACTTTACTAGCGGTCGCTGGTCGCGTTGAGCAATAGTCGCTTAATACATTCAAGATAAAGAGAAAATTTACAGTGACCGCATAAGACAAAAATCGCTTAATACACGTGGTCGCATGGGCAAGTTAGACTTTACTATTTTCTGTTGGATTAACGAATCTGTGATGTTTCAAACTTAGTATTTCAATAATTTTATCTTTATAAAAGTGCATCATTTCACTGCATTCTTCAAAACAGCGTCCCGCGATGTATTTATAACGCTTTAGTGTGTTTGTTAGAAATAAAAACATCGGGAAACGAATTGTCATTTGAATATAAAGTGCGAACTGGTCGATGATCGATATCAGAGGGGTTTGATTATCTTTATGTATTTTATCATTGATAAATTTCATTTTCACCTTTCTTCCTTCGATTTGACATTTAATCCCTGTCACACATGAATG